GAAATTGGCGAGGGCTTCAAATCAGTCATACAAAGAAAAAAATAGTTAAATTTAAGAAGTCGGAAGGAGATGGAGTCGAAGGTAAAGGTGTGGATCTTCTGGGAAAGATAGATCCTGAAGTTTTGAAAGTCTTGATCGAGCTAATACAAAGAGCTAGTATCTCGACGGGGGCCACTATTTCAACACGTGCTTCGACACAGATAAAACTAGATCTCCCTACTATAGATCTGAAACTTGATCGACCGATCACGTATCTAAGTTGGTCGCGTCGAATCGAGGCGGCTCTAGTAGGGAAGAAACTAGAGGGGCATCTAACGGGCGTTGAGTCAAATAGTGACAGTGTCGAGAGGGATGAGTGGAGGATCACACACGCTTTGCTTTACACATGGCCACTCAACTCTATGGTTTCATCGTTTGTCTCATCAATAGATGACATTTGAATGATGAGGGACATCTGGGCGAAGTTGAAGATCTATGCTGGGATTGGAAATCATATGAGGGTGTTTTAGATTTAGCGTGAGATAGATGCAGTGCTATAGGGCAATAGATCGATTCAAGAGTATTTCATAGAGCCAGAGTGCTTGTGGCAAGATCTTGACCACTTCTCACCTATATCAAGTTGTGGTGATCTGGGGTGCAAAAAGGGGGAGATCTTTGTACAGATGAGGATTATGCATTTTCTGTCTCATCTAAAACTTGTCCTTGATTGGAGGAAACCAGTCCTCATAGCCCAGGCAACGATCTCTTCACTGGATGAGGCCATTGTCGCGATGATATAGAAGGAGAGTCGCAAAAGGCTATACTCTACGCTGAATGGATTTCCAATTATGTGGTCAACTTTGGTTGCTTCGAGTTCAGATATGACAGGTGCCCAGAGGAAACCCGTCGGTGCTACAACTGTGGAGAAATTGGACACCTGAGCAAGGCTTGTCCAAAGCCACCCAAGGAAAGAGAGACGGGGACGAGGATAGTCTAGAGATTATAATCGTAATCGTGGAGGCCAAAGAGGTGGAAGAGAGGGCTAACGGGCAAATCCGATGATAGAGGAGGACGAGGGAGAGATTGTGATGATCTTTACCAACAATAATCACGAGTTCCTAGAGATGTTGAAGAGAAAGCAAAGAGCGACAAGTGATGCTTGAGGATGCATTCACCTTACTTATGCTCACTCAACCAAATGTACTCATAATACACATGCTCTTGTCTTGATATCCACCACAAGATCACCGAAAAAGATAGTAGATTTTGATACATCTCGACATGTCAGGTAATGCTAGTGAGTTCTCTTCTTATACTCATCTAGCAGTTCCAGAGAACATTCAAACCGTTGATAGTACAACACAACCAATGGTTGGTAAGGGTATAATAAAGTGTACCGATTATATACTTTGTCCAATATTTTGCATGATCCTTCCTTTCTAGTAAACATTTTATTCATTAGTGTCATTATACTCTAACTAAAACACGTTATTTTATTTGCTATTCCAAAGGCAATCTTTCAAGAGAAGATGACTGGCTGACGACTTGAGATTGACATGTGGCATAATGGACTCTGGTATTTGGATAGAGAGGGGATGGATTGAACATTAACAACCATGGTAAAGTGTGCTGGAGTAGGAGAATCTGGGAGCAGTGGAAGATATGTTGTTGCAATATCATAGGCATGTGAAACAATCTTCGTTTAGTCTATTGAATCATTTGTATCCATCTTTGTATGAGAATGTAAATAAACAAAAACTTGTGTGTGATGCTTATGAATTTGGTATGCATACCGGGAGCTCCTATGTTAGTTATGGTAATAGGAGTTCTTGTGTTTTTGATTTGGTACATTCAAACGTATGGGGACTTTGTTCTACAGCTTCGATGAATGATTATAAATATTTTGTGATTTTCATTGATTGTTTTATCATGTTATTTGGTTACATCTGATGAGAAACAAAAGTGATGTGCTTGCCTGCTTTAAAGATTTTCACAGGGCAATTCAGACTCAATACGTTGGAGTAATGGAGATATTAAGGTTTAAAATAAGACAAAATATACCAAAAAGACGTTTGAGGAGTACCTGTCATCCCAAGGGATACAGTATCAAACCACATGTCAGTACACACCGACACAAAACAGAGTAGCAGAGAGAAAGAATAGACACATTTTAAAGGTTGCCCGAAACATGATGATCTCGATGACTGTACCAAAGCACTTGTGGGGGCAGGTTATTTTGACAGCCGCCCTCAAGAGTGTTGGAGCATCAATCTCCTTGTGAGTTGTTGAGAGGAGATAATAGCGGGATCCTCCCATTGAAAGTATTTGATTGTGTTAGTTTGTAAATAATAATAGACCATCAATAAGAAAGCTAGACCCTGGAGCTGTAAAGTATATTTTTGTGGGTTATTCTGCTACCTAGGAGGAGTATATTGTCGGAGTCCAGTAGAGAAGAAAATATTTCTGAGTATAGATGTGACTTTTAGAGAATTGGAACTGTACTACTACTTGGAGGTGACCTCTCCCTTTGGTGACTCGTCAGATACTGGAGGTTTGGCACATGTGGGAACGATACATTATCCTATTGAGTGAGAAGGATCAGCGGAGGAAGAGCTCGAAGATGGTGGGATTTAAACTCAAGGAGTGTTGAGAGTGTATACAAGGAGGCAGAACGAAGGAACAGTGCCCATTGTGTCATACATGTCATCATGTCCCTTGTGCTGATTTATCCCGACTCCTTAGACACCTACACCATCCATATCAAAACTAAATTACACTGGTGATATTATTCCTCTTCCTTCTCCCACTCCCATGACTTTAAGGAGGACCTCTCGCAGCAATGCAGGTCATTCTCCTGATTTTTTTGGTTTCTCACATAACATTGCTCAATTTTTCTCATACTCTAACATAATAGCGGGATCCTCCCATTGAAAGTATTTGATTGTGTCAGTTTGTAAATAATAATAGACCATCAATAAGAAAGCTAGACCCTGGAGCTGTAAAGTATATTTTTGTGGGTTATTCTGCTACCTAGGAGGAGTATATTGTCGGAGTCCAGTAGAGAAGAAAATATTTCTGAGTATAGACGTGACTGTTAGAGAATTGGAACTGTACTACTACTTGGAGGTGACCTCTCCCTTTGGTGACTCGTCAGATACTGGAGGTTTGGCACATGTGGGAACGATACATTATCCTATTGAGTGAGAAGGATCAGCGGAGGAAGAGCTCGAAGATGGTGGGATTCAAACTCAAGGAGTGTTGAGAGTGTATACAAGGAGGCAGAACGGAGGAACAGTGCCCATTGTGTCACACATGTCATCATGTCCCTTGTGCTGATTTATCCCGACTCCTTAGACACCTACACCATCCATATCAAAACTAAATTACACTGGTGACATTATTCCTCTTCCTTCTCCCACTCCCATGACTTTAAGGAGGAGCTCTCGTAGCAATGCTCGTAGCAATGCAGGTCCTTCTCCTGATCTTTTTGGTTTCTCACATAACATTGCTCAATTTTTCTCATACTTTAACATATCACATACATACAAAACATTCATTGCATCTTTGGACACTGTCTCTATACACAAGTATTCACAAGTAGCTAAGGAGGATCCAAAGTAGAAGGCTACCATGCTGGAGGAACTTGTTGCTCTCGAGAAGAACAAGATGTGGGAGCTCGTGTTGTTACCAACAGAAAAAAGCTATCGGGTGCAAGTGAATCTTCATAGTGAAGCAGACCTAGAAATGAAAAATTGATCGCTATAAAACATGACTAGTGGCGAATGAGTATAGCCAGACGTATGACATCAACTATGACGAGACATTTGCACTAGTGAAAAATATAAGCACAACCAAGACACTCGTCTCTCTGGTTGTAAATGGTGGATAAAAGTTACACTAACAAGATCTGAAGAATGTGTTTTTATATGGGGATCTGTTAGAGGAGGTGTACATGGAGAACCCCAAGCTTCGGCACAAACCAAATTGCAGGCAAGATATGTAGACTGAGAAAGTCACTATATGGGTTGAAATAGTCTCCTCGAGCTTGGTTTGATAGGTTAAGAAGAGCAATGGTAGACATATTCTATCAGTAAATCAATGCCGACCAAACAGTAATCTTTTGACGACATGGTAGTCACGTTACTATGTTTGTCGTGTATGTGGATGATATAATAGTCACTTGTGATGATGAATGAGAGATTGCACAATTGAAGGCAAGATTGGGCAAAAAAATTGAGATGAAGGACCTGGGTCAACTTAGATACTTCATTTATATTGAGGTGGTTGGTGGAGCAAAGGGGATTGTTATATCTCCGTGGAAGTATGTACTAGACTTGCTTACAGAGACAGACAAGTTGTGATACAAGCCTGCGCTTTCACCAATTGATCAAAAGGAAAAGTTGAGGGCAAAGGCAGGAGAGCTAGTTGATCTCGAGAGATACTAGAGGTTGGTGGGTTGTCTTATCTATCTGAGTCACATTCGTCCCAACATGTCATTTGCAGTAAGTGTGGTGAGTCGCTACATGCATGATCCGAGGAAGGGCCACATGGATGCACTGTATCGTATTCCGAGTTACATGAAAAGTGTGTCTGGGAAGTAGTTGAACTTCAGAAATAATGAATATATAGGCATTGAGAGCTATTGTGACTCTACTTGGGCGAGTTGTGCTAATGACAGGAGGTTCACATATGGATATTGCATGTTTGTAGGGGACAATATAGTCTCTTGGAAGAGCAAGAAATAGTCGGTAATAGCGAGGTCAACAGCAAAGGTGGAGTAAAGGGCCAGTGCATTAGGAGTTTTCGAGATGAATATGTGGTTGAGAGCTTTGTTGGTAGAACTCAAGGTTGATTATATTGAGGGGAACTGTTGAAATTTGTATCTAATGTAAGGCCTTATTTATAAATAGGAGTCTATGGATTATTTGTAAATGTAGCAATGCTATATATAAGCCCAAATTATTAATGAAATAGATAAGATTTGAAAAGCAATTACTATCTATAGCTTGAATTTTAATGTAGTGCGCCCAACAAAAAAGTTCCTAGATCAGCCCTTCAATGAAAATACCTCAAAGATAAAATACATACCTGGGATCGAAGATTTTCTGTTTTGTCAACCAGGCCATCAATTTTCTCTTGTCGGTCGAAAAGCTAAAAGCCAAAAAGAAAAATAAAATTCCTTAAATGCTCTCCACAAGCATAAACATGACGATAAGTTGAAATAGAAGGCGAAAAGTTACAATCTCAATATTTTCCATCATAATTCCTTTAACTTGTGAAACTTGAGCCTGCACTTTTGAAAGTTTACTGATCTCATCTGGATGTTCCATACAATACTGCATATGCTCCTTCAGTTTTGGCCTGAAAATTGTTGGGTTTGAGTAAAGGATTTCTCAAAGCTGAAGGGATGAAACAAGAATAAAAAGATACCCAATTTCACGATCAAGGCTATGGGCGATAGCCGTTGCAGCCTTCCCTCCGGCATATTTATTGGTAAACTCTTCCTTGATCCTCTCCAAGAACCCGAGAGGAATTTGTCTTCCAGCTGATTCAACTGCTACAATACAGTAAGCTGCATAACACAAATACCATTTTATTATTCCATCAGAAAAAAGAAATACCATTTTATTATTTCATGAGAAGAAAAGAAATACAACAACAACAACAAAAAGCTTTTATCCCACCAAGTGGGGTCAACTAAATGAATCCTTTTTCTCCATTGTGTCTTTTTGAGTGCCATATTTTTATTTAATTCTAATAGATTAAGAGCATTTGGATACTTTTTAGGTCAACCTTTCTTTAAATAAAGCAACAGCTCATGAAAAAAAAAACAAATGATGCATAAAAAATATAACCGATTCGTAAGGCAAACCAAAGAACTACATAAAAAAGTTCATTCTTAAGAAAATACGAGAGATACCAGAATATATAACTCCTATGAAGCATGGCCACATTCAAGGATGTGGAATATATAGAGCAAGGAAGACCGTGCCATACATATATTCTAATAAGTCCATCCAAAAACAAAAAAGAAAGAGAGGTCGCATGTCTTGCAAGAAAATTTTAGTATTTAATTTTTATGCTCATCACACAATATTATCAGTAAAGTTTGATTGTTGATGTTGTGTGAACGAAAAATTGAAATATGAATGCCAAAAATAAGGAATTAAATTCAAATTTTAACTTTTCTAAAGCTAGGGTGTTACCAAGAAGCGTGCACCACAATTTACCAAATTGTAGTAAGAAGTAGGCAAGAATTTGTTAAACTCACCCTAAGTGATGAACTCGACTTAAACTATTGTAGTGAAAAGTAAGGGTTGACCAAACCTAGAATCAAGATTGGATTTGATATATGGAATTTAGGTTCTTTGGATGAGAAGATAAAGAAATTGATGAAAAAAATAATTAGAGAAATAATAAGTATTTGCAGGTTTAAATGAAACTGAATGAAAAAAAGGAAAAAAATGCAAGTTAACATGCGTAAGAAAGATTAACAATAGAATTGGTTTAGAAATTAATAGGGAGTTCAAGAAAAAAATTGCTAGTGTGAATAGGGTTAGTGATATGGTAATTTTTTATAAAAATTATCAACGGGGCATTATAAAATTGGCTAGTTCTTACGCTCCTCGTGTTTTAATTAGAAGATAGTTTAAAAATCAATTTCGGGGAGAGAGGAATAAATTCCTCTAATAATATACTTGAGGGCGAAAGGGGATTTAATAGAGATGGTCTACATGAACATATAAGTCTTGTTAAGATGGGTTATGACAGGAATAAAAATGAATTTAAAATGGTATAGAAATGCAATGGGAGTTTTAATTAATTTTGAAGTAGCTTATGATCTTCTTACAGCGAATGTGTAGTATAAATAATAATAATAGCACATGTGCTTACCAAATTCGATCACATAAAATAGAGTAACGGGGATAAATGTATATCTTTTAATAGTATAAAAGTAATTAAGAGTAAAAATTGCCTTACATCTTTGAAATTATTACTCTTTCAAGCTAGACTGCTAAGAAAGGTAACAAGTACTAAGTAAACTTAACCATTGGATGCTTAAAGTTATTTAACGACAAATAATGCTAGTTAAACTCTATGTTTATATCATTAATGTAATCATAAACTAATTGTTAAGGTTAACATGTCCCTACAAATAACCAGTGTTTTATTGAACATAATTAGAAATCAGCTAAATTACAACTTTTCACAGACCAATCAATAGGGACCAAACTACAATAACTAGCTTTAGTTATTAGCAAAAAAACTAATTGTTAGCTACATCAAAAGTTATTAGCTTACATATTATTATTTTTATGGCAGCATGTAACATTTAAGAGTAATTAAACTGTCTGCAGTTTTTCATGTAATTAGCTGATATAACATTTATCGACCAATTAAACACAATAAACAAGTAACTAAAACTTGAATATCCCTAATTGAGTATATCATAACCTACCTAGCGCGACCAACAACTAACTAGTAATTAACAGAAAATTAACAAAGTCTGATTACTATTACATGAACAAAGAACTTATTATTTTTTTCAAAGAGAAAAATCAGTATCAGATTAATCATTTTAAGCACCATATAACAGAATCTAGACATTGTTTGCAAAAACTAGAACTCAATCCCAATGAAGCGAAAAAAAAAATCACAAGAAATTAACCACGGGCAATGAACTCTTAATCAATCAATAATTGAGTAAGTACTAAATGCTTAGTCTAACAGAATCAACAGCTACTAGCAGGATTCTATCAAAATTACCACAAATCAACACAAAATCAAAGCCAGATAGAGAAGTCGACAAGCTAGGTATAACCAACGAAACGGAGAGAGTACGGTGCACTCACTGTATCCATTTTCGACAAGAAAGTTAAAGGTGTGGCCATCACAGCTGTAAGTGAACTTGTCGTTGGTAGCCGGCAGCCTCTGAAGGCACTGCGATGCGATCTCCATGAAGTTGCCCTTGAACTCCGTGTACTCCGCAAGGATCACCGTTCCCCGCGACACGAAGCTATAGATTAGCGTCTTCTGCTTCATCTTCCAACCTTTCGCCGAACCCTAGAATCTTGCGAGATCGCACAAAGAACAGGGAATCGATTTCTCCGAGAACAGAGAACCGCAAAGCAGATTTCTTCTCCTCTCTCTTCTCCTCACAGGGAAGAAGGTTGGAAGGGGTATTATGCCACCAAACTTTGAAAAGGTAAAACTGCGTTGAAAGTACGGAAAAAGCTCCTGGTCAACAGGTCAATGATGTCGCCCAGTCCCATAAATGCCCCTAGTTCTTACCGAAATAGCAAAACTACCCTGCATTTTTTCAATGACTTTTTTTTGGTTGGATGTGTAATATAGAAATTAAGGGTGTTGTTAAAAAATGAATTAGCTCACACTTTGTTCGAAGGAGGTTTTCTATGTGGATGACCAACTCAGATGACAACTCGACATATATGCTGAGTGGTATCAGAATATGTCAATTTGTTTGTCAGCGATTAGTTGTCTGCATGTGTGAATGACTGAACATAATATTTTCTTTGTTCAAATAGACATTTTGGCTCCTTTGTGTTCAACCAAATACTAGAAAAATGTGAGGAGTTAATTTGGGTTAGCAACTTCTTGGTAATTTCTTCTCATAATAAAGTTAAAATGGTTCATTCAGATCGTGAAATATTTGATGTGTTCCATTGTTTTCTGTCATTTCGTTAATGAAACTATCAAAATTACCCATCCGCTGCTTCCCAACATGTTCTCGTAATACTTTTATTCATTCTGGATGTTTTTTGTTATTTTATGTGGAAAAAAGTTGCAATAAAGATTGTCATTTTGCTTGTTTTGAGAAATCCTCTTGTAAAATTATTTTTAAAATATTTGTTTTGAAAGATAAAGCTGCACCACACTAGGCCTCAATTTAATTCAAATTAATGCAATAGAAAATAACTCCTATGTATTTATGACGCAGTGTATTTTTTTTATGACAGACAAACCCTTTTTTTTGGCGAAAAATTATTTTCTTATTTATGATGGAAAGCCATTTTTTATTTATGTTAGAAAACCTTTTTTCTTTTATTTATGATGGAATTTTTTTTTAATTTATGGCGGGAAACCACTTTTTCTACTTATGGCGGAAAATCATTTTTTTGAGTTGTTTTGAGCCTATAAATAGGCAAGAAGAGGAGGGAGGAGGTGGAGTCTTAGAGCTGTCAAAACGGCTCGTTATTCGCGAACAGCTTGTCTTCGTCTCGTTAAGCAGCTCTTGTTTGGCTTCTTCGTTAAACTTAACAAGCCAAACATCTTCGTTAAGGGTCCGTTTGGGGCCGCTTTTTCCCCGCTTCGCGGCCCCAAATCGCGAATATTTACTGTTTGGCTGAAAACTTCGCGGCAAAATAAAGTTAACGCGGAAGAAAGCCCGAAAGCTATATCCTCCCCGCGGCACAGCTTCGGAGCGCGAAAAATCTTGTTTTGCCCCTCGAGCTCTCGTCCCGCGCCCTCCCGCCCGCCCGAGATCTTTTTCTCCCAAACTCCCGCACGCAATTTCTTCCTCCGATTCTTCCTCCGAATCCCGCGATCGCCCTCCCGCGCTCTCGTCCCCGAGATCTTCTTCCCCGCGATCTTCTTCTTCCCCGTGCGCTCGTCCCTTCGTCTCCGAATCCGGTGAATCGCGACCAGGTTTTCTTCTTCCTCGCGATCTTCTTCCCCTCTCTTCTTCCTCGACCAGGACCGCATCTTCCGCCTTCTTCTTCCCCCCTTCCCCCTCTCTTTCTTCTTCGGCCTTCTTCTTCCCCCTTCGGCCTTCTTCTTCCCCCGCTCTTCTTTCGCGCGGAGTACTTCATCCTAATGAAATAATTGTTGACCTAACTAGCTATGGAATTTTTGGCCTATCTTTGAATTTAAAAATCACTCTGTTATTGTATCATTTAGGGGAAAATACAGCGTCTTGTTGGAAGAATGCTTAGTTGTTGCTGCCAGTATTTCTCCTTCTAAATTCCAGGTTTAAAAATCTTAGTTGTTGCTGCCAGTAATTCTCGATTTCAAGCTTTTTCTCAGAATCTTGTTGGAAGAATGCTGTTCTCAAGTTTGATATCTTTTTTGCAGCTTTCTTGTGTCAATTTGAAAGTTTAGGTGTTAGATATGTAAATAACTAAAAATTGTGTGGTATGTATATTGAATACTCTTATTGCCTTTGGTGATATATATTCGTTTTAGTTGAATTGCTTGAAGCTTATCTTTCCACCATCTTTTAATGCAAATGTCTCGACTGTGGGATTCGTTTTAGGGGCATTTACATACATAGCAAGCAATTCTTAGGTGTTTACACATCTCACACCTAAATTTTCATAGTTGCAAACATAGTACTCTGGTACTTTAACTAGTTGCATGAAAAGATGTATTTTATCTCTCAAAAGTGGTAATAGTGTTATGTTTTATATGTTATAAAAATTTGAGTGCTATATGTGTTAATGTGAAAGTTTAGGAGTGAGATATGTAAATACATAATAATTGTGGTAAATTTTGTTGTGCACTCGCACTATTTTTTTTCTGTTCATCGTTTTTGTAAGTAGTGACAATATAACAGTCCACATGCAAATCAAGAAATATTGAGATTTACATGAAAAATTTTACACGGGAAAAACAACAGGCATTGGAGGAGAATTCACTGTTGAAAAGAAGAGAAAGTTACAAACGGAGAGGCCTTTCGGTTGGATGGCTCACATAACATCCACAGAACCCTAATTACATATGTGTGTGTATTGGTTGGGTGGTCGCGAAATAACGAATGTCCTTCATAGAGCCCCTCAAAAATTTTCTCATAGTTTAGATTATGCCACACGTCACCCCGAAAACTTCTAGATCCAAACCAAACAGAATTAGGGTTACAAACTATTAACAAACAGTTTTTTAAGTGATAATCTGATCTTTATCTCATATTCTTATGTAAATCATTGACTTTGTTATAAATTGAGTCATTAGGAAAATTGACCTTGTTTGTGCAAAGCGATTTGACAATGATTAAAGGTTTTTTTTTTTTTTTTAGTGGTTCATCCCTGTAGAGTGTAGAGCAACTATTGCCATTTAAGATGGCCTTGAACTTCTTCACTGTAATAATGGCATTAAAAGATTTGAGTGAACAACCTAAACATAGAATGAACTTGTTATTTGTTAAATTATTCATTCTCTTAAACCCTTTTAGTGGAGCATATTAGTAGATATAGTTGTATATGTTGGCAAATTGTTATACAGTTTCATTTCATTCCATTAATATTTTGTTCATTAGTTAAATTTTTATTTAACTGCATATTCCCTAAATATCTAATACCTAAACATTACTTTATTCTTCTTTCTAATTGATTTTACTGTTGTGTTTCATGACTTTGTTTTGTTATAGTAATAACATGGATAGTAAGCCTAAAGAGGTTGCTACACCAGCATTGTGG